GATCATGTTTCAAACCAATAAGTCATGTACTAGGTCAAAAGTCAATAATTGGTCGTTCTCAGTCAAAACCCTAATTTTGACCATTTTAACCCTTTTGATGATTTTGAACTATTTTCTTAGAGAATTATGGTCCAATCTTGATCAAATGATACATATGACTTCAAAATGTTGATACTGGTCCAAAATCTTGAAGTTTGGTTGTAGGTTGACCATAATTGACTTTTTAACCAATACAGCTAATTTTAAACCACCTGATCAATTGACTTAGCAATTTTATGATCCAACACTTGAAACTTGACAGGAAGCCATCTTGAGGGTCCATAATGATCCATGAAATTCATTTGAAATATTAGAAGTCCAACCGTCTTTGTGAAAACTCAAACCCTAATTGAGGCATCAATGCTTCGGAGATGATTTTGGTCTGATCAATTCCTTGAGAAACCTTGAGCACTAGAGATCCTTTGTGCGGAATGTCTTGAAAAAGAGAGGGAAAATTTTGGGGTACAATAGCTGCCCCTGTTCAATCTTCTTAAACCCTAAGAGTTAGATTGGTGGATCCGCCATTCGTGACTTGAAGGTGGAAGATGATTGAACACTAGAGTGCCCAGAAATTTTCACTTGATGATGTGTTAGTTGATTGTGTCGGGAATGGGCTTAAAGATGCCATTTGGAGAAGTGATGAAGAGTTTGTTGGAGATGGGCTTACAGATGCCATCCAGAGTGACATAAGAGGTTTGTTGTATGGAGACTTCACTGGGAAATAACCTTAACCAAAAGAGGTATGTTGATTTCCAGAAGAGGTTGTCTGTTTGCCTATCATTAACTGGAAAAAAGTAAAATCTAACCAGAAGAGGTCTTTTGTTCGCACTGTCTTTAACTGGAAGAAGTAAATCTAAACCAGAAGAGGTCTTTTGTTCGCATGTCTTTAACTGGAAGCAGTAAATTTAACCAGAAGAGGTCTTTGTTTGATTGGTTGACTTTTCCTGCAAGTAAGGGGGGTTAGTCGCAATGCAGATGTATGCATGGCATAATGATGTTCTCAAAATAAATGAGATTGTGCTATATGCATTTGTCATGTATGTAATATGATGTATGAATGTGAAATATTGTTGAAGTGTATCTTTGTCTTGAAAAATAAATCCTTAACAAATATTGGGGAGCTTTGAGAAGTTAAATCCTGGACTGTTGTTTGGGATGAAGAGTATGTACATCTTCAGACCTTGTTTTAGAATATTTCCACTGGGTATTCCTGTTTTGTTGTTTGAGGAGAAATCCGCTGGGGAACATTGATTTTGGCTCTTCGCTTGAGGAAACTCTGCGAAGAGTGTTAATTTTCTGCTTAGGGAATAGAGTTCAGGAGTTGTCCATTACTCTACTGGGGAATTATATTTGACTGGGGAGAGTGAAAGTTAGCTGTTATCTGGTCGAAATCCAGGCTTCGTAGTAAATTTTGACTTGCTGGGGGGTAATAAAGTTAACTGTTATCTGGTCGTATTCCAGGTTTCGCAGTAACTTACTTGGAAAGGTGAAATTAATTGTTATCTGGGTCGGGTTCCAGGCTTCACAGAAAATTACTTGGAAGAGTGAAGTTTAATTGTTATTTGGGTCGAATTCTAGGCTTCGCAACAACTTAGATGAAATTAACTGTTATCTGGTCGGGATTCCAGGCTTCTCAGAAAATTACTTGGAAGAATGAAGTTTTAAACTGTTATCTGGTCGGTATTTCAGGCTTCGTAGTAACTGATGAAAGGATGAAATTAACTATTATCTGGTCGGGATTCCAGGCTTCACAGTAATTATTTGAGAAGAATAAAAGTTTAACTGTTATCTAGTCGTGATTCCAGGCTTCACAGTAACTGATGCAAGGATGAAATTAACTGTTATCTGGTTGGGTTCCAGGCTTCGCGGTAATTTGCTTGAAAGGATGAAATTAACTGTTATCTGGTCAGATTCTAGGCTTCGTAGTAATTTGCTTGAAAGGATGAAATTAACTGTTATCTGGTCGGATTCCAGGTTTCACAATAATTTGCTTGAAAGGATGAAATTAACTGTTATCTGGTCGGATTCCAAGCTTCGCGGTAATTAGCTTGAAAGGATGAAATTAACTATTATCTGGTCGGATTCCAGGATTCACAGAAAATTGAAGTTAACTATTATCTGGTCGAATTTCAGGCTTCGCAACAACTTTATAAGGTGGATGAAGTTAATTATTATCTGGTCAGATTCTAGGCTTTACAGCAACTTGCTTGAAAGGAATGAAGTTGACTGTTATCTGGTCGATTTCCAGTCTTTACAGTAACTTGCTTGAAAGGATGAAGTTGACTATTATCTGATCGGTTTCCAGGCTTTACAATAACTTTCTTGAAAGGATGAAGTTGACTGTTATCTGATCGGTTTCCAAGATTCACAGTAACTTGCTTGAGTATTAACAATTCTGCTGGGGAATGCAATGACTCTACCGGGGATTAAGGGATTTTTTATCCATTGATTTGTAATAGTATGAGAAGCCAACTCAAGCTGGGGAATTTGTAGTTTGTTGGGGAAATAAATCCGGTTAAAGAGAATATTTGACGACCTTCCGAGGAAGTGACTTCTTTAGGTAGAATTCCACAAGGCTTCCTTTTAAGACCAACTCAGTTGGGGAGAGGGTTTTTCGAGAGATTGAAACTTTGGCTGGGGATTGCATGAATCCGTCTCTGTGGGGATAATTTTATTGAAGTATCTCTGTGTGGATATCCCAAATCCTTAAGGAGATGCTTGTTACTGTTTTTTATGTATACAGTTGTTAACAGTTTAATCATGTTCATATGCATATGTTCATTCAATTTTAGTCATTGGATACTTTTGCACTCAAAATAGAAAAACAAAAAGTTTTCACTTCAAAATATATTTGTATTGATGTTTTCCTATAAACAGACGTTTTTGTACAAGGAGATGGAGATCCTAGTAAGAGGAAATCGTCGAAAGAATGAAGGAAATACAAATTGAAAACACAAATAATAGCCATGTGGAAGTGATCACAATGGGTTCCAACTCCGCTATTGCCCCTATGTCTTCGAACATTATCCCTTGTTGTTGAAAGAAGTTGATTGAATTGATCTTGGACCTTTTGAAATTTTGACCTCGGTAGTAAAGCTGACTGCAGAGATCCAACGGGACATAGTCGTACGCTTTAATCCCTAACTTTTTCCTGGACAGCCCTTTCGGGTTTTCAGTCCACCAGAATACTCATTTTTGTCCAAGCCGCCCTTTCGGGTTTTCGACTTGCTGGGTGTACAATCTTTTTGTGTATGTCATACCCCAAATTTTTCTGCCTTAGTGCTACCGTCAAACTTATTTTCGAATTTGAGGCATTATAGATATAAAAATTCCTTTGATTTAATTGTTCTGAGTTTTTTAATAAAAATTTGCTTTCAAGTCTGTTTGAAAATATAATAATTATTTGTAAAAAAATAAAAAATAATTGTTCGCTATCATATACTTTCAATTGGAATTTTACTTTTGAATAAGTAACATATCATAGTTGGTAAGAAAGAAATACTGACAAGCAGAAAGTCACTTTTGTTGTTACTTTATTTTCATTTTCCAAACCACAAAAATCATATTTTTATTATTAAATTATTATTTTTGTATTTATTTATTTATTATATTTTGAAAATATTATTTTTTATTAAAATATTTATTTTATTTATAAAAAAATAGTCAAAATAAGTTATAAATAGACAAAATTTAATTTAGGCCTTTTATTCACTTTGGACTAGCTTTCTCTCCAAGTTTTAACCTAAATTTACTCTATAAATAAGACTCATTGTTGTCCTAATTTTTCATGCTGAAACATCCGAAAAAATTCACAATTCTCACGCACTTTGTTTCTTTTCAAATACTATTGCTGATATATTCTATTTTTGGCCAATAATTAAAATATGAGGTCATCCTTTTTATTTTCACTTTTTTCAATTTTATTTCCAATCAAATGATGAATATTCTAATAATTATTATTATAAAAATTTCTATCTTTATACTAATAATTTTATTTATTTATTTAGAGAGCAATTTTCTAACCCACTTTTCTTCTTTTCACAGTATATCAGTAAACAATTTTCATTCCACAATGTTCTCTCATTAATACACAGTAACCATAAAACACCTTGTACACTTTCTAAATATTTTATATAGAAATTAGAACATATTTTTTCACTTTAATCTATATTTTATCAACAATTTTTAACTATACTACACAGTTTTTTACTTTAGTCTATGTACTTTGTATAGAGATTAGAATGCATTGTATAGAATCCATGTGCACATGTTATTTTTACACGCATACTAACTAACACAATCATATTTAGTAACTTTTCAAAACTTCGTGATTCCTGCCAATGGATTGAGATTTTTTTTCAAGAATATTGAAATCTTGACCCCTCTCACGATTGTTACAATATTTTCCAGTCAAAATATGCTTCAGTCATGTCAAACCTTAAAAATCCAAAATTGAAACACTTTTTCCATTCAATGACGTTATATCAAATCTTCTGCTCATTATATCAATAACCTTTCTGCAAGAAGAGCCGCCGGAAAACGAATCGAACACCGTGGACCGACGTACACGAAACACCGTCAAAGCTCCTTTCTGCAAAAACGACGGAAGCACCACGCGAGACTTGCCAAAACATATCCGTCGTGACGCTCCAATCAAGTCACGCCGACCACCCTCGCCGCGGATCTCCTCACTACCGCCGTCAAATCCGCAACAGTAATCAGCCCTCGAGCCACCGCAGACGAAACATTCTCACAACCACACCAGATCGAGCTCTTTGCGCCGTCAAGCCACCGCTTCCGACCGTATCGACTCAGAACCGTGTCACCCTTAACCTCCTCGTCGCGATTGACGGACCACCGCGAGTTTGCTGCATGATACCTCCGTCACCACCGCACGACACCTCCGTCACCACCGACGACGTGATTCTCTCTGATTCCAGATATGTGGACAACCGCAACACATCACCGCACAATAGCCATTCTCTGCTACCCCTCCGCGTTGCCGTTAGAGGAAGAAGTTGTGAAAGGAGAGAAGAAGAAGACAGTAGAACAAAGAGAAAAAACGATACTTGTTGTTTTTTTTCTTTTTGCTTTATTACTCTAAGGTCATATAAATTGTTTTTTTTTTGTTATTTTACTGCCACGTGTCAATTCTGGAGTGGCTAGCATATGATTTAAGAAATCAAAGACAAATTCTCTCTTTACACAAGGGTGTGCCGCTCCATACTTCATTTGAATTACTCTTGTATTTTTTTTCTTTCTTTTATTTATTCTTTGTTAATTAATAAATAGTACTTAGTTAGAAAATGGGCTTTGAGCCTTAATTTCTAAATAATTTACTAAGTTTCTCCCCGTCTTTAGTTTACTGGTAGTTTTGTTATTATCCTTCTTCTACTAATATTCCTTTCATATTTGGCAAATCTTAGAATATTAGAATGTGGTTTTAGCATCTAAATTAAAACAAAAACAAAAATATATAATTCTCCACATCCTTCATGACGAGTAACATGTGATCAATATCTGATCACGTGGGAAGGTGACTATATCAGACTCCCCTGCTCAATGTTCATCACACTCTTTAATCAAATCAAAATATCAAAACAGCTAACCAACAATAAACTATTTTTCCACTAACCTAACAAAAACTACAAGATATTTTCGAAAAAGGGTTAAGGAGAATTAATTTCAAATTTAACTGCGAACTGCGTCTACAATCACTCACCTTTCAAAACCCAGACAAGGTTCAAGGATAAATTCGAAAGCAATTCTACGCGATCCTATAAAAAACACCAACCAAACTACGAATTGGGACTCTGATTCCTCATAAGAGAATACGTAGGCACATGATCAAAAATCGTAGCAAGTTCCCCTATTAAAAAATTAGGACACTTTTCTTTCTGATTAAAACCTAAAACCCAGTTTACCCCAAACCTAAACCTAGAGCTTAATATCCTTGTGAACAAGGTGGATAAAAGGTGCCTAACCATAGTCCATCGGGATCCTTGTTCAGGTCCGTCATACGGTCCTGGCTTTTCGTAGTCAGTTACTAGTATGATATTCTCATCCAGAAATTCAAAGTTCATGGATTGGTAATCATCAATAACTTGATGTGCTTTTTGTGTAGTGTATTGGATATCATATTCGGTCAGGATCATTTACCATCTAGCTATTCGTCTGGAGAGAGCTGGCTTTTCGAAGATATACTTGATAGGATCCATATTTGAAATCAACAAAGTGGTGTGAGTCAATATATATTGTCTTAGTCGGTGAGCAGCCCATGCCAGAGCGTAACAAGTTTTCTCGAGCAGTGAATATCTAGTTTCATAGTCGGTAAACTTTTGGCTCAGGTAGTATATTGCATGCTCTTTTCGGCCAGACTCGTCATGTTGGCCCAACATGCACCCCATTAAATTCTCTAATACAGTCAAGTACATAATCAGAGGCTTTCCTTCAACTGGAGGAATCAGAATTGGAGTTTCTTGTAAGTATTCATTGATATTGTCAAAGGCTACTTGGTAGTCGTCATTTCATCTAACTACTTGATTTTTCTTCAAGAGTTTGAAGATTGGCTCACAAGTAGCATTTAGGTGAGATATGAATCGAGAAATGTAGTTAAGTCGACCCAAGAAACCTCTGACTTCCTTCTCAGAGTAGGGAGCTGACATTTCTTGTATGGCTTTAACCTTCGCAAGATCAACTTCAATGCCTTTGCTACTGACGACAAAACCTAAGAGTTTTCCAGATCTTACTCTGAAAGTGCACTTGTCAGGATTCATCCTTAGCTTGTATTTCTTCAACCTCTCAAACAACTTATGAAGATGATCAAGGTGTTGTTCCTCAGTTTGTGACCTTGAAATCATATCATCAACGCAAACTTCTATCTCATGATGGATCATGTCATAGAATATGGCTACCATAGCTCGTTGATAGGTTTCCCATGCATTCTTCAAATCGAAAGGCATGACTTTATAACAAAAGGTTCCCCATTGTGTAACAAAGGTGGTTTTATCCATGTCCTCGGGAGCCATCTTAATTTGATTGTAGACAAAGAAGCCATCCATGAAAGATAAGACTTTATGTTGAGTTTTGTTGTCAACCAAGACGTCAATATGCGGTAGTGGGAAATCATCTTTGGGGCTTATCCTATTCAAATCTCTATAGTCTACGCACATACAGACCTTTCCATCCTTCTTTGGTACGGGGACCATATTTGCCACCCATTGGGGATATGATGTTACTTCCAGAAAAGCTACATTGAATTGCTTCATTACCTCAGCTTTTATTTTCTCAGACATGTCTGACTGCATACGACGAACCTTTTATTTGACCGAAGGAAAATCTTCCTTCGTTCGTAAACGATGAACCACAATGTCAGTATCCAGCCCCGGTATATCTTCATATGACCAAGAAAACACTTCAACATAGTCATGTAACATCTGGACCAATCTGCCTTTGATACCATCTTCTAAATTAGCACTGATCTTGACTTCTTTCTTGTCTTCCTCAGTACCTAGGTTGATCACTTCAACTGGCTCCTCATGAGGTTGAATGGCTTTTTCCTCTTGCATCAGAAGTCTGGATAATTCCCCAGGTATTTCACAATCTTCTTCGCCTTCGTCTTTGGCTTGGTAGATTGGATGTTTAAAGTCATAGCTGACAATAGCAGAGTCGTTGGCAATGAGATCCAGAGTGGATGAGGATCTGTAAGTCTGTGTGCGTATGTGTGCATGTAAGATACATGGCTATTTTGAAGATGCAAATAAGAAAAAGAAAGATAATGAGCACAAAATATGAATGCAAAGAGTCCAATGTTTTTCATTAAATGATCGTATGGCATATGAAAATGAACAAACCCTTAACAAATGAACCATGGTGCCCCGGGAAAGGCACATAGCTTAAAGTCATTATTTGAATTAAATTACAGACAAAGTTCTTTAAATGATAAAAATAGTAAATGGTAATTACTCCTTGTTGAAGGAGATGGGAATGAAATCCTTTGCACGCCAGTTGTCGATTCCTTCACCGGCAGTCGGGTAAATCCATTCATCAAAGTCACAGTCATCCTCAGAGTCTTCGATAGAATTCACTTCATGATTACTAATGCGAAGAGGTGGTTTTCCTATGCGAGCATGTCTGACCTCCTTTTGAGCTTTGGTAGTGAAACCCATCCCAAACTTGTCTGCTTTGAAAGGAATGTCTGGAAGTTGTCCCCAAATTGTACTGCTTCCATCTTCAATCACAATGTGAGTATCTTTGAGTGAAGCCATCCTTGGCACATCTTCATCAGCTTTTGGAATGTCAAAAGAAATTTTGGTAGCGACAACCATAGGAGGGACTACTTCGAAGGCTTGGCAAGGAGTCTCTATAAACTCACCATCCATTTCCATATACTTGAACGAATTCAGGTGGCTAACCATGACTTCATGTTCACCACAAACAATAACAATCTTTCCCTTGACTAGATATTTCAGATTTTGGTGAATGGTGGATGTCACTACTCCTACCCCATGGATCCAAGGGCGCCCAAGTAAACAAGAGTAAGCAGGACGGATGTCCATCACATAGAAATTAGAATTGAAAGTTTGTGAACTAACTTTAGTGGGGAGATCAACTTCTCCAAGTACCATCCTCTTGGATCCATCAAAAGCTCTCGCAACTATGTCACTTGGCTTTAACACCAAACTGTCGTAATCCAATCGATCTAAGGCACCTTTGGGTAAGACATTTAGAGAGGAACTTGTATCCACCAAGACATGGTCCAGAGTAGTTCCTTTGTATTCAATAAAGACATGCAAAGCCTTGTTATGATTCCTTCCAACTGGTGTCAAGTCAACATCAGAGAACCCCAATCCATTATCGGCAGTCAGACTTGCCATATAATTTTCAAATTGATCGGTTGTGGTCTCTTGAGGAACATACACTTTCTTAAAAAATTTGATTAATGCTAGAGCTTGAGCATCAAAGCAAAGTAACAAAGATAACATAGAGATCTTGGAGGGGGTTTCCCTCAGCTTCTCTACTATCTTAAAATCACTCTTCTTTATGATCTTTAAAATCTCATCCATTTATTGGGTGGAGGGTTCCTCGGCAGCAATATCTTTGGCAGGCGCCTCCTTCCTGGTAGGCTCAATTGTCTTTTCTTTGCCTCTAGCGTCAGTGCTAGGTTTATCCATGGTAATGTGAACCGGTTTCATTGTAGTAGTTAGAGGTGAAATGTTAGGAGAGAAAATCCTCCTCGTTCTCGTTACCTTGCTAGAACCAGCAATATTTGTAACATCGTCAATTATGTCTTCATTGATCCAAGAATCTTGCTTAATTCCATGATAGTAAACTTCAGCGCCGTAATTCCAAGGGACTGCTTTGTTAGAGGAGTATGGAATCGGCCCAGGAGCATTAATTATCAAGGGAGTGATTGTTGGTTCATTGGAAATCCTAATAGGACCCTTTGAATATATCCTAAGAGGCTTGTTGGAAATTGTTATGATGGAAATGTCTTCAGCTTTATCGGTCAAACTTTTGATGGATGGTGTTGTACCCCAAAATTTGCCCTCCCATTTCCTCAACATTTTCTCATCACAAGACCTTTGAAGATCAGGATCCAGTTAGGGTTTCCTCTGCTCAAGACTTCTCCTTGCACTGTGGACTCAAATTAGGGTTTGTGTTTGCCTAAGGATGTTTTGACCTGAAATGCCTAAGATGACTTTCATGCTTCATATTGGACTCCCAAGTTTACCTATACCAAGTTTCAGGTCTTGATTCCAAGTTTTGCCCAGTCAATTGGACAGTTGACCTAGAAATCAGCTGTATTGGGGAAAAAGTCAACTGTGGCCAATTGACAGTCAAACCTCATGAAATTTGATCCACATCAACATTATGAACTCATACGAACCATTTGATCAAGTTTGGATCACAATTCCCCAAGAAATTTGATCAGATCATCAAAAGGGCAAAATGGTCATTTTTAGGGTTTTGACTGCACAAAGGCAATTTTTGACTGTTTGACCTAGCCAATGGCAAACCAAGTTCACATATGGACTCAAGGACCCCATGGAATTATCTTTACATGTTCATCAAGCTCAAAAGATCCCAAATACACAAGATTGACAGTTGAATTTCCCAGTCAATTGATCAATTTTGACTGTATACTGAAAAGTCAAACTTTGACT